TTGAGATGTGAGAATAAGGTCTCTGGTGCGTCTAGCTCAAGGTTTAAACGCGGTGAATGGATCCCGCCAAAGCGTTTACTGGGTTTAGCATTGGGTTCCAACTTATAGGGTATGGCACTTTCATAGACATGTGTTGGTTTGAATTAATCAGTGCTGATGATATCGATGTGACCGCGTTGATAAACCTTTGAAGTATTTTCGTGGGGAGAAATCGGAATAGACGCGATGGGAATAGTGGTCGATGCACGACCGTACCTGTGAGAAGGTGGCGACGGTCCTACGATGCTTCTGAAAATGATAAAAAAGAGCATCAGACATAACGAACGTGCCAAATACGTGCCTGTGCAGTTAAGATCGTTGGCATTGTAAGTATTGCTTTGCTCCTGGAAGGCCACACGTATAGTGCAGTGATGAGGCTTAAAGTGGCTGCGATGTCTGGGCGAGATAGTTCATGCAGGGTGTCGAACACAAGAGTACGATAAGTCGGGGTAGACTCGTAGAAGTATCACACAAGACACTACCTGAGCCAGCGGCCAGGAGTACTTTTCCGCACTAAAGGGATGTAGAGCGTACTGCTTCCGTACAAGAAGGATATCGTGCTTGGGCGTCAGGCATAGCGAGCAGGTCGAGTACAGGTAAAGTAACAGCATTTGTATGAACACGTGACAGAGCGTCAGCAACGCCGTTCGACTCGTCGTTAATATGATGATGGTCTAACGGCAATTGTGAGATAGTTCCGGAACTTTTATAGGAAGAAAGAAGACAGGGAAGACCAGAAGAAAGTGGTATATTTGCTGGAGATATCGTGCCTTCAAAGAAATACCGTACCGTGCCGGAGAATGAGTCAGAGCAGAGAGCAGACGAAACAAGAAGGCTAACGTAAAAAGAGGTAGTGGCGTGACCATTATATACTTTCAGTAAAAATAATAAAAAACTAAGGTCATTAGGTATTAACAAAAGAACTGATAAACAAAAAGAATAAATTGAATTTTCTTGATTGAATGACTGGAGACAAAGTAAATTCAAATATTATAAATTATGTGGTGATGATGAGATGGATGACCTAAGATTTTGATTTGCAGATAATTTTAGTACAATTACTTCAAAAGTCTATATGGAAGGAAATATGTCTGTCTGTATTGAATACGTAGAATATTAAGTATAGTGAAAAGTGAAGATTGACTAATTTTACTGAACTGAGAATATAATAATGATTTGCATTATATTGAAGAAAAACAATCACATGACAATTTGAATGAACTTTTAAATTCCATATATGAAAATCCTGTAACCTAATTATGTAGTGTATGCGAGTGTACTTTTTTTGTTTGTAGGTAAACAATTTCACTCACACACACACACACACATAGACACACACACACCACAGTATTAATTGGCCATTTACACAACCACAAAATCAATAGATTAATGCACCATTACATTCGCATTCTCTCTATGTTACGATTTGTACAAAATTTCCAACCCTTGAAATGCTCAATCCCTCTCTACTACACACAATTCACATATTCATTGATTTCATCCATCACTCGACGATAACTTGACCGAAATCGATATCTTATCTTGATTATGGTATGTATTTGTGTCGATGTGACGAGGATGAGGATGGAGAATGTGTTGATTGAGTGGTTGAGATTTTGAGCGAATTTGTTTGTTTAGTGATCACTGTAAATTATTTGGAAGTTGTGTAATGAAGAAGGAGAGTAGTATAAGCTTGATTGTTGATTACTACCACTACTGCCACTAATCATAGTAACAATATCAATAGTAATAATAATAATAATGATAATAATAGTAATAGTAATATTAATAATCATAACGATATTAATAATTGCGTACAATTCTAATGATACAATTCTAATGAAACTGCTTATACAATCAATACTCCTGCTAATAGTGCTCATTGTGTTCACAAGTTCTAAAACCTATGAAACATATTACCTGAATTATTAGTCACTTGTACACAAGCCAATGAGTTCACTCTAATAAGGCCTTGTAGTGACAGGAAGACAGCACAAAATTTAGTGTAATTGGGAACGATCACTTAAACGTACACTACTGAGGAAGCATATCAAATGTTAATACATGCTTAACACTGTATCCATTGTTTGGTAAGCCAGTTTTGTGTATAGGAACCTGATCGATTGTTTATTCTGCTGACTTGCTTATCGTATCTACCTTAGTTTCTCCGAAATACGATTGTGTTCCGTTGTCTCATTTGTAATAAATTCATACATAATATCACAACGCCACCTACATACAGGTGAACAAAAATATTGGAATTATTCAAAATTCCAATCGCTGAAAATATCCAACAAATAATTTTCACAAATAGTCCAAAGATCATTCGATAACTTGACAACTTGTAATTAAATTCATAGTGGGTTTATGTCGATGCTTTTTTATTGAAGAGTTGCATATTACCATGATATAACTGTGGCATTTTGTTCTATTTTGAAATAGTTCTTCTATAATACGATGTTGATTGAATTAAATGAAATTCATTTTCAGTTTTGACTGATCAAGAATAACTGATGAATAAATAATCTCGATGAATTGGTGAATCGATCATATCCGTCTACCAAATAAAAGATGAGTTCACTGCACTGTAGTCCTCTCACTCCAAATACAAATACATAAAGTCACTGAGATTTGAAATGAGCCACGTTAGTAGGTGTAGACTGCCTACGTGGTTGTACTCCGTGAGACGATAATAATAACCGATGGTTAGACACATTGAACGCAATGTCTCAAAATGTTCACAATGACGTAGGTTCATGCATTGTTTGTGTTCTCTAAAATCCTAATCTGAATTCCTCATCGATTCTACCATCCTCTTTTTGAATTTATTTCATTGAATTATTCTTCTTGAATAATAATATCTTCAAAGCCTTATCTTCTCCATTAGTGCTAATGCTTATACCACTTCTATGTCTGTCTATAGGATTTGAATTGATGACATTCGGGTCTCTATGATAATGTTGTATCGCAACCTGGACAAATGTACGTACGTAATTACGTACGTACGTACGATGTTCTACGTTGTATATGACTGACTGAATGACTCTGGTAGTTTTCATGATGAATATAAATAAACGAGGTGAATCGGGAACGCTGAACAGGTTTCATAGTGCAGAGTACAATATCTCACCACTGTTACACAATTTCTCGAACCACAATCAAGCGGAAAATTTTGAGTAGCTCTCTGAGTACTACACAAACAAAAATCGAATCAGTGAATATGAACTCAGCTAATCAACCATGTCATGCTTATCATACTATTTCAAATTATCCGATTCGATCGTGCGTAAACACACAGGTATACAGTGTAAAATGAATACAAATAACTGTGAAATATCTATCCAGAGCATTTGTTTGTTGATTAGGTGAAGAATTGTTGGTGAATGCTGTGATCGAATTCCACAGCACTCAAAATACAGTAACACCAATTTCGAAGATACTTTCATACTCTTTGTTCAAAACAATGTTTATTCAGCTGTGTCATCATCATCAGTTGCTCATGTTGAGAAACATCGATTTCTCATTGCTTCCTTAATTGTTAAAGATGCATCATTGGAAGAATCGTAGGTGTGTCGAGGAGAATTCTGACAATCAATTGTGTTCATGTTTTCATGGTTTATTTCTTCAACAGAAATGTTTCTCCCGGACGGCATTCATCTTCAAAATAAAGCTAGTTCACTAATCGCTACATATTACTGAATACAAGAACACTTTACAACATCATAACAATATGTTCGTACTGATAATTACTTCTATTCTAAAAGCCTATCTCCTCACAACGTTAAATAACGATTTATGTTACATTGCGGTCATTATTTCACACACTTGTTTCGTCTAGTCAACGACACATGAAATATACTGTTACACGAACCAAATCTGTTTGTTGCATATGAACAGACAGATGAAAGGTCAGTCAGTAATGAACAAGTAAGATGGAAATGTGGTAATGTGAAACAGAATTTGCTGTCAGAAAACCTTTCTTAGATTAGAAGGTTTACACAAACTTCAACATCAATCACATCATAAATGATATGAATCAAACAATAAAAAAATGCAGAACTAGAAATCATTTGATGTTTGTTGTGTTCAAGCATGAAGCGTTTTATCAGCCAGCAGTCTACAGCCACTACACTGAACATTCATACTTCGCGAATAAATGTGTTAATTTCAGACAGCTGAGCTGAAACAACTTACATTGCCAATCTTAATCAGTCAGGTCAATTTTCTTAACCGTTTATCAGTCCAAATAGCTGAACATAGTGTGGTTTATTATTGACTAAATAAATGATGTCCAATTATAAAAATGATGGTTTGTTGGTAAAAAGCAGCACCATCTGACAATGATTTATAACTTGACTGAGGTAATATTGTTGTGCGAGCTACTTATAAGTAGTATATGACGTGAGTGTCAACGTAATGTCTGGAAGCAGAAGATGGGAGTAGATCAAGAAAGGAAGTTAGAAAACAATGGAATTCGTATGAAACGCATGAATAGTGAAAATGGATTGATGTTTTGCAACAGGAACAGCCCAGTTCGAGATGATGGACTGATATTTTGCAAATTAACGATTTACCATACGGTTTTCCCATTTTACTCAGTAACTCTGTAATTTTCGTTAAATACAATCCGGTTGCCCCACCTCTGTTCTCGTTCATTACAATATCACTTAAATTGTATATACAAAATTTAATTATTCAGAAGAAGCAGTGTTATCGGTAACTGAACTAGTGAATCATCTCCAAAGTGAAAACACTCCGGATTCTATCTATCTGAGGAGAAAAAAATTCCCATTACGGACATAGTGAAAATGTTGAATGAATATGACAGAAGCTTCGTTATCAGTGTCGACTAACAAACACAAACCTATTTCACTCTGTTTAATGTTTTCTAATTCACTTTCTTCTTGTCTCTAGTTTGGATTTATGTTTCTATTTCAAGAAAAACCACTGAATGCATTAAATTCCCAAAATGCTTTTATTGCTTTTCAATTCCAATTACAAATAAAATCGTATGAAAAATTTCAGTTCATTGTTAAGATATTTCATAGAAATCATCACCCAGGAAAATAATCTTGTCTTCATACTTAAAAGTGACCATAAAATGATTGTCAACTGGTTTCAAATTGAATAGATGGTAGAAGGACCTGTGAATAAAAAGTGAAAGAAAATCAACTTTCACATAAGCTGAATAAAACGTGAGCGAAATTCATGAAAATATATAAAAATAACAATGAATTTATAATTCGAAATGAATTGAAATCCACTTTATAACAATGATAATCATCAATATTTAGTGATTGGTTTGTAGTGTGTCGATTTACTGGCGTGTTCTTAAGCTCGGTAATTAGCTCGTCTAGACAATCGTTACGGTTTATAAATCACAAGTTGGACTCAAAGTGTTCAATAGGTTTATTATTTTTGACACACACCACAAAGCGAAGCGGAGGAGAAGCAGTGAATAGAACGAAAGAAGCGACGTGAATTGGAGAAGGCTGTTGAGTCAATTCCAAGAGAAAGAGCATGCATGACTAATAATAATATTATAGTCAGACAAAAATAAGACGAACATGACAAGCGATATAGTCATGCATACACATGCATGAATAGAGACGACGAATGATTGACAAGGTCAAAAGCAAGCGATACAAATCATGTCAGTTCATGGAGATATTAAGAGATTAACATTAAAGCGAAAAGGATGAGTAAGCGCGTAGGCCTAGGCAATGCAAAGTAGTACAAGCTCATACAACAAACCAGAAAACAACAAATACCAATGGTAAATATGGCTTGTTGCTGTACAAATAGCTTGGTTACATAAGTCAATCGAAAGGCTTAATCAAATTAATCAAATATGAGCGAACTGAAGTTTATGTGGAGGCACTACAGGTTCCACAGTATTCAGGTCTGTCTGATTCACACACAGTGATTTGCCTATAGTTTGTTGATGAACCAACCATTCAGTATAAAATGTGTCAGTTGAATTAAATTAATGATCACAATTTAATATTAGATCGTTGGAAAATATTGCACAGAGCTAGCTATCAAACGATTCAATGTATAAACATATCACAAGAAGAAGAACAAATTATTGAATTAATGTTGTAAATACCTGTCTTTATCTGATTCCGAAGCAATAAGACAATGAAAATAAATTTTCGATTGATCGTCCTTAGATTTTGCATTTATCATCTCATTGAATTTTGATTCAATAGATTTTGCTGCAAAGTCATAATTTTTAAGACCATGTAAGGTTTCTTCACCAATAGAACGAGCTAATCTTTCATAATCTTCTGGCATATTACTCTTCAAAACTCTTAACATGATGCGAGAGCAAGGAAAGAATAAACGGAATTTTCTTGGTTTGAATGAATGCAGCTGAAGAAAATTCACTTATTATAACTTATGTGGTGATGATGAGATGGATGACCTAAGATTTTGATTTGCAGATAATTTTAGTACAATTACTTCAAAAGTCTATATGGAAGGAAATATGTCTGTCTGTATTGAATAGGTAGAATATTAAGTATAGTGAAAAGTGAAGATTGACTAATTTTACTGAACTGAGAATATAATAATGATTTGCATTATATTGAAGAAAGACAATCACATGATAATTTCAATGAACTTTTAAATTCCATATATGAAAATCCTGTAACCTAATTATGTAGTGTATACAAGTGTACTTTTTTTGTTTGTAAGTAAACAATTTCACTCACACACACACAGACACACACACACACACCAGAGTATTAATTGGCCATTTACACAACCACAAAATCAATAGATTAATGCACCATTACATTCTCATTCTCTCTATGTTAGGATTTGTACAAAATTTCCAACACTTGAAATACTTAATCCCTCTCCACTACACACAATTCACATGTTCATTGATTTCATCCATCACTCGACGATAACTAGACCGAAATCGATATCTTATCTTGATTATGGTATGTATTTGTGTCGATGTGACGATGATGAGGATGGAGAATGTGTTGATTGAGTGGTTGAGATTTTGAGCGAATTTGTATGTTTAGTGATCACTGTAAACCATTGGGCAGTAGTGTGATGAAGAGGGATAGTATTATAAGCTTGATTATTGATTACTACCAATACTGCCACTAATACTTATAATGATAATCATAATAACGATATTAATAATTGTGTACAATTCTAATGAAACTGCTTATACAATCAATATTCCTGCTAATAGTGCTCATTGTGTTCACAAGTTCTAAAACCTATGAAACATATTACCTGAATTATTAGTCACTTGTACACAAGCCAATGTGTTCACTCTAATATGCCTGCTAGTTGCTGAAAGACCACAGTATAATGAATGTAAATTGGAGCGTTCAAATAATCGTACATGTCTCAGGAAGAATAACAGAAATACAGCAATTAATTTGGAGTACATAAATAAGTGTGATAAACATTCCTCAATGTTTGATTTATCGTGAATTCAGTCTCTGTCCTACTACTCAATGACTGATTAAAACAATATTTTCTTACTTTCAACAAATACTTTAATTGTTTGAATATGGATGTGAGTTTACATTGTCAATATGTGATGTTATATCATGTCATCTTGCATGTCTATCTGACACAGTTGGTCTGTTTAGAGGAATTTTTCAAATTTACTTGAAAATTAGTGTAACGTTTTCTAGTGTCATTGCAAATTGTACAGTGAAATAAACGCTTTCTGTAGAAAAAAAATATAGATTGCATGAATAAATGAGTGTGTCAAAAAGTCAAGAATAAAATGACCTTTCATTCAAAATGCACTGTAGTCCATGGGAAAGCAACGAAAACTCATTCAAAATCCGTAAACACTACTTCAATAGAAATTGTTTTGATGCCCTGTTCAATGGTTGCGCATGTGAAGCAGCAGTCAAAATTATATGACTCTACTGAGCAACATGCATATTATTTGAAATTAGTGGTATTTTCCACCAGGAATATACTTACTGACTGAACTCATTTTAGGTGGGCTGTAGGCGAAATCAAACTAAAAACAATCTTGAGGAACGATACACTTTATGACGCATGCAAAACTCGTAATTCGACTATTCGGAGCTAACTTGATCTGTCTATTGTAAATCGAATCAAATGGATTAATGTTCTTACTGAGTTAAAAATTAAGAAAAAAATTAGTACAGCGAATCTTAGCATTCAGGTTTTTACGGGTAGTCGTGTTGTCGAAACCAATGCTTACAATCCTTGATGGGTAGAAGGAGTAATTGTCAAAATAGCTTTCACACGTGACACACAAACTGTTTCAGTCTTGGAAATAGAAGTTTTATGCCTGATGATGGATAAATGAAGTCCATCTATAGAACCAGTACATGTAACTGATGACGTTGTTCTGCATTTCGCACATACACCTCAGACTTGTTAATATACCGGATCCTGATGGGTTACTCCTACGAGTGATGTCATCCCTAGCGGACAGAATTGTAGAATCACTAACGAATCTTTTCAACATGTCCTTTTCCCAGGCTCGATTATCTAAGCATTAGAATTATTCTACAACTAGCCCTTTATTAAAAATGGCAAGGGACTAAACATATCTGATTACTGACCAATGAGTACAGAATTTCGAATACTTCATTTCTATTTGAAGTTTGTGCTGATGATGTTGTACAGAAGAACAATGAAAGCTCCTCAACCAAAACATCCAGCTCAGAAAACAAAACTACACCACAACCCGTCAATCTAACCAGTATGGTAGTTACACTAATAATACTAATAATAATAATAATAATAGTTGAATTGTTTGGAAAAACAATTTGGACTAAGTTAACAAGTTATTCAGAATTAGACAATATGTTAACTTTAAAGCACCACGAACTTTGCAATAAGCACCCATGCTTATCTAACTTCCAGATTGCGAGAGAGGGCTGGAGAGCAGCTGAAGATAACGGGTTGTTTGTTAATGTAATATGCATAAATTTTAGCACATCACTTGATAAGGTTTCTCATTTAAGGCTTTTGCAGAAGTTATCTGGTTTTGGAGTAACCGTTGAGCTACATATGTGGATAACAAACCTCCTCCGTGATTGAACACACAGAGTGAGAGTCAGTGGAATACTTTCTGAAAGGAAACCGGTGCAGATTGATGTACCGTAAGGCACCACCTAAGGTCCCCTTTAGTTTTCCCTCTACATTGATGAATTACCGAGACTGCTTAATTTTTCGAAAGTGTTGTTACCAAATGACGACGTAAAAATCTAGTGAACGACAAGTAGTGAGGCTGATGATCTTGATCTTCATCTTGATGAAGCTGACCTAGAAGAAGAATTTCAATAGTCCCATAGTTGGAACTGGGAAATTAATTTTAGAAAGAGTGTGTTTTTGCATATCGTATGCGGTATTAGTTACCAAACAACTGTCAACGGTACATCGCGACCACGCGTGCAGTAAGAAAACGACTAATAAGTAGTGATCAATCATGACTTAAAAACAACTGTATTAAAAAAAGAACTAATAAACAAAAAGAATACATTGAATTTTCTTGGTTCCAATGAATTGAGCTGAAGAAAATTCACTTATTATAACTTACGTGGTCATGATGAGATGGATGACCTAAGATTTTGATTTGCAGATAATTTTAGTACAATTACTTCAAAAGTCTATATGGAAGGAAATATGTCTGTCTGTATTGAATAGGTAGAATATTAAGTATAGTGAAAAGTGAAGATTGACTAATTTCACTCAACTGAGAATATAATAATGATTTGCATTATATTGAAGAAAGACAATCACATGACAATTTGAATGAACTTTTAAATTCCATATATGAAAATCCTGTAACCTAATTATGTAGTGTATACAAGTGTACTTTTTTTGTTTGTAAGTAAACAATTTCACTCACACACACACAGACACACACACACACACCAGAGTATTAATTGGCCATTTACACAACCACAAAATCAATAGATTAATGCACCATTACATTCTCATTCTCTCTATGTTAGGATTTGTACAAAATTTCCAACACTTGAAATACTTAATCCCTCTCCACTACACACAATTCACATGTTCATTGATTTCATCCATCACTCGACGATAACTAGACCGAAATCGATATCTTATCTTGATTATGGTATGTATTTGTGTCGATGTGACGATGATGAGGATGGAGAATGTGTTGATTGAGTGGTTGAGATTTTGAGCGAATTTGTATGTTTAGTGATCACTGTAAACCATTGGGCAGTAGTGTGATGAAGAGGGATAGTATTATAAGCTTGATTATTGATTACTACCAATACTGCCACTAATACTTATAATGATAATCATAATAACGATATTAATAATTGTGTACAATTCTAATGAAACTGCTTATACAATCAATATTCCTGCTAATAGTGCTCATTGTGTTCACAAGTTCTAAAACCTATGAAACATATTACCTGAATTATTAGTCACTTGTACACAAGCCAATGTGTTCACTCTAATATGCCTGCTAGTTGCTGAAAGACCACAGTATAATGAATGTAAATTGGAGCGTTCAAATAATCGTACATGTCTCAGGAAGAATAACAGAAATACAGCAATTAATTTGGAGTACATAAATAAGTGTGATAAACATTCCTCAATGTTTGATTTATCGTGAATTCAGTCTCTGTCCTACTACTCAATGACTGATTAAAACAATATTTTCTTACTTTCAACAAATACTTTAATTGTTTGAATATGGATGTGAGTTTACATTGTCAATATGTGATGTTATATCATGTAATCTTGCATGTCTATCTGACACACAGTTGGTCTGTTTAGAGGAATTTTTCAAATTTACTTGAAAATTAGTGTAACGTTTTCTAGTGTCATTGCAAAATGTGCAGAGAAATAAACGCTTTCTGTAGAAAAAAAAATATAGATTGCATGAATAAATGAGTGTTTCAAAAAGTCAAGAATAAAATGACAATTCATTCAAAATGCACTGTAGTCCATGGGAAAGCAACGAAAACTCATCCCAAATCCGTAAACACTACTTCAATAGAAATTGTTTTGATGCCCTGTTCAATGGTTGCGCATGTGAAGCAGCAGTCAAAAGTATATGACTCTACTAGGCAACATGCATATTATTTGAAATTAGTGGTATTTTCAACCAGGAATATACTTACTGACTGAAGTCATTTTAGATGGGCTGTAGGCGAAATCAAACTAAAAACAATCTTGAGGAACGATACACTTTATAACGCATGCAAAACTCGTCAGTCGACTATTTGGAGCTAACTTGATCTGTCTATTGTAAATCGAATCAAATGGATTAATGTTTTAACTGAGTTAAAAATTCAGAAATAAATGAGTACAGCGAATCTTAGCATTCAGGTTTTTACGGGTAGTCGTGCTGTCGAAACCAATGCTTACAATCCTTGATGAGTAGAAGGAGTA